GTCAAAAGTCAAGCAAAAATTGGACTGATATTGGGCACTATTTCAAGCACAATTTTTTGAGACGTAAATTGTACCTATAGCTCGTTCGATATTCGCGCACTGAGGTGAGTATGCTGGGCGTAGAACCTACGCCCAGCATACTCACTGAACGAAGCCTATAACTCCGAAGTTATTCGAGCACTGTTTTTTCTTTTTGGGCACCGTTTGGCACTATTTGGGAACTATTTTTTGAAGTATGAATTATGTTTGAAGCGTATACAGATTCTCCGGACGGAGGTGAGTATGCTGGGCGAAACCTTCGTCCAGCATACTCATCGAACTATGGCTATAACTTCGCAAGTACAAGAGCACTATTTTTTTCCTTTGGGCACTATTTAGCACTATTTCAGAACAGTTTTTTGACATTCATGAAATATCAGGATTCCATGGTGAGTATGCTGGACGAAGGGACACGCAGAAGCGCATTCTTTCACATTATAAGAACAGCAGCGCCTCTGCCGGGCCGCAGTTTAGTTCAGTGTGGCGCACTTCATTCCTGAAAATAATGCATAAATAATATGTAACGCATTTATCTATACTAATATTATAAAGACGAAAGATTTGTACCTATTTTTGTATGTTTGTAATGAATAGGCTCAAAAAGAACTAGGACGATTTAAAAAATTCTTTCACCTATAGAATGCTACATTCTTCCAATTTGACATAGGCTACATTTCATTTTGAAAAAAATTAGGGATCCTTGGTAAAATTTGAACAATGTAACCGAAGGTGTAGAAAAATGAGTCTTAAAATGTCTTTCGTCGAACGCGCTGCCGAAACTATTAGCGATAGAACAAAATAATGTACAACTATATTGAAGAACATCATAATGTCTACAAAAAACTCCGCGGTAGCATATGTCCAACTATTGTAGTTATGTCACTACAACAATCCAAATTTCCAAAAATAAATAATTGTTTACCCCGTGCGAAGCCGGGACGGGCTGCTAGTACTATTATAAAATAGTGAATACAAAATTATGACCAAGAGCCTGCGCATTATGAGCAAAATGATTAGTAGCCGCCACACAGTGTGTATATATCATTTTGAAAATAATAAAGTTTCATTTTGTGTCCCTAGTCGATTTATTATTGTACTCACGTCACAAAATGATAAAAAGTAGCCTATGTGGCATATACCAATACACACAGCGCCATTTATACCAATACTTTTGTTTTCCCTCGGGAATATCAATTTTTTCCGGTATGAAAAGTACCCTATTATTTAATCTGGACTTCTAACTTTACGTCTGCAAAATTTCAAAGCAATCGTTTTAGTAGTTACGGCGTGAAAGTGGAACAAACAAACAAACAAACTCACTTTCCCATTTATAATATTAGTAAGGATAGTAAGGATACACACAGCGCCATCTATACCAATACTTTTGTTTTCCCTCGGGAATATCAAATTCTTCCGGGATAAAAAGTACCCTATTATTTAATCCAGACTTCTAATTTTACGTCTGCAAAAATTCAAAGCAATCGGTTTAGTAGTTACGGCGTAAAAGCGGAACAAACAAACAAACAAACAAACTCACTTTCCCATTTATAATAGTATAAGGATTACACAATTTTATCAACATCATATCTCTAGTACAACTTCAATTCAAATACCAAACGTCATCCACAGACCCCAGGAGTTGGTAAAACGACTTATTTGCAACATTGCCTCGTTGGCCGAGTGGTCGCAAGTGCGACTGCCGGGCAAGGGGTCTCGGGTTCGATTCTCGGGTCGGGCAATATATTACTGGGTTTTTAAAAAATTCTCAGTAGTAGCACGGAGTCTGGAATTGTGCTCGGTATATGGCAATAGGCTCACCTCCTATTACATGGGATTCATAACATAAATAGTGAAAAGTGGGTGTTATATTGTACAGTGGTATAATGTGCACCTCTGCCTACCCCTTCGGGGATAAAAGGCGTGATGTTATGTTATGCTGGCTCATTGCCGACTGACACACGCGGCGGCAGCGCGCGACCGCTGTGCTTCTGTTTAAACAATGAAATAGGCATGGCGACTATATTTTAATTTTTTGTCCGTCTTTTAGATATTTTAAAAATCTTCGATACGTATTTTTTCTTTTTTCTCGTATCCAAAAAAACATGTACATATTTTGAGTTAAAATGACGCGTGACGTCACACTTAGGTACGATTTCTCCGTAAGTGTACGTCAACACCCCCCACTCCCTAACTTTAATGCGGAATAACTACGTATTCTTCTGTTAATTTGATAAAACAAAAAATACGTGTCTGATATTTTCGTGCGATCTTAATGACGGACTAATTACTTTTTTGATTTTTTTTACCCTGTCAACACGCCTATTCTGGCAGAGCGACATTCGCGCGGTTGACGCACCATTGTCGCGCTGCTAAAGTCGCCTAAATGTGAAAGAGCTCTTAATGCTAATAAAATATGATTATTAACTTTGAGTCATCGGATTTTTTGTTTGTTCATATATGTGTACTCAAGTGTTTGTAAAGACCAGATTTTTTGATCTTTTGTGTACCTATAACGACTGATGTTGTTTTGGTAACTTGGTCTGATGGAATCACGTGGACTGTGGTTCAGGGGTTTTCGAATACTCAATAAATAATAGTATACAGATGGTATTTGTAAATGAAAAGCTTACTAAGTTGTTTTTTTATGGCGTAAGCCGGTCAACGAGCAGACGGATCACCTGATGGTAAGCAATCGGCATCGCCCATGGACACCTGGAACACCAGACGCGTTACCAGTGCGTTACCAGCCTTTGGGGGATTAGGAGTTTAAACTTTAAAGATTGTTAGGGATTCAGGGATTGGGGAGATTGGGGAAGGTATTTAACTTATCTTACTTTATCGTAACGAAGCATCGTTGGCCGAGTGGTTGCAAGTATGACTGTTGCGCAAGGGGTCTCGGGTTCGATTCCCTGGTCGGGCCAAATATTATTGGGTATTTTTCAGTTCTCTAGCGGTATTGTAATTTTGAATCATAACTACTTGTTGCCATTAAAAAACTCTTATAAAACTTAAAATCAAACAATTTTAGTGGGTATATTGAAATGTTTATTTTTTTATTATAATTTCTTAAAAATAATTAAATAAGTAATTATAATAGCTTACAAAATGGCAAGAATATATTTTTCTTAACTTAACTTAGGTTAAAAATTGAACAATAATGAAAAAACAAACAAAAAAAATACGAGGTATGTCGTGTCGTGGTGGCATAAGTGCAGGTTCGAAACCTACCAACGGCACGTTACAATGTGACGACTTCCGAGTTACATTTGAAATCGCCAACCCGCATTGAGCAACCGTGGTGATTAATGCTCAAACCTTCTTCGTGTGAAAAGAGACCTGTGGTCAGCAGTTTGGCATTTATAGGCTGTTGATGATGAAAAGGGATACCTGGGATGATGATAGGGTACGAAGATGACTTGTTCATGGTAAATTATGGTGTCAAGGTCGTTAAAAAGAAGGCGGACATAATGTCACTTAGGAAGGCCTAACTGGCTGCCGGGGCTCCGGCTAGAAGGGCAGGAGTTGGAACGGAGTGGTTTTTAGTCAATAAGGGTCTGACAGTCTCTCTCGCCTAATCCATGACGCGATAAGTCATTGGATGATTTCCCCCCTTAAAAAAAGCCAATTAATGGTATGCAATCAGCGTCATCTATTTCCACCCGCAACACCAGAGGAGTCACAACGAGGCCTACCGAATTTTTGCCCATCAGATGTCGCTAGTATATTCCTCTCGTTCTTCATCCATTATTATTTTATTACCAGGGTATTAGCCAGTGTCAGATTAATGGACGTTCAAAATTTAACACCTGCTGTGATTGGTCAATAAATCCATTCCTACATATGCGCCATCTGGTGAGGAAAACGTTAGCCTCCATTGCGTATTATCATCATTGTTCAAGGCCACACAATGCTTTCAATCCAGGGTATATATTGTATGACTTTGGTGTACATTCCTGAACTGTACGTGGGTCCACAGGTCCTGTCGATGGACATCACCCCCAGGATCAGGCGAGTACAGTGGAAAGCTCGTCTTCTGTATAGTAAAGGACCCCCGCTGTCACTCTGAAAAAAATATATTGTCATAATTAGATTTTTTATACCACGACGCGGCGGGGACAAAAAGCACACGGCCCACCTGATGGTAAGTGGTTGCCGTGGCCTATGAACGCTTGTAACACTTGGGGTATTACATACGCCTTGCCAGCCCTTAACATAACATCACGCCTTTTATCCCCGAAGGGGTAGGCAGAGGTGCACATTATGCCACTGCACAATGTAACACCCACTTTTCACTATTTATGTTATGAGTCCCATGTAATAGGGGCTGAGTCTATTGCCATATACCGGGCACAATTCCAGACTCCGTGCTATCACTGAGAATTTTTAAAAACCCAGTAATAATTTGCCCGACCCGGGAATCGAACCCGAGACCCCTTGCCTGGCAGTCGCACTCGCGACCACTCGGCAGAAGAGGCAGTCTTTAAAAACCACCTATAAAAAACCTTTAAACTCCCTTCTTGAAGATTATTAAGGTTCGGATCAAGATGTCACTGATTCGGTCAGTCGTAGCAAAGAATTATAAGGTTTTGAGATAAGCCTGCCATAACCACAAAATTTAATTGTGATAGAGCCATGATTCGGATAAATGACTAGGCTCGACCGGAGTGATACCACGGCCTCACAGGAAACCGGCGTGAACCAACACTTGAATTCTGCTTCGCCTTATGAGCGATGTTACCGGACGCCCAATTTCTCCTCCCCTTCATCCCTTATCCAAGTCATTCATTTTTCATTATCATCCTTTTTATGTTATAAGGCGGTAAACGAGCTGATGAATCATCATCACTATGATGGTAAGCAATCGGCGCCATCCATGGACATCTGAAACACCGGAGCCGTTACCAGCCTTTTGGGAATTGGGCTCCAGGAAACCTCACTCAAACGACGAAATATGAAGCAAGCGTTATTTCATTTCGGTTTTCTGTGAGGCCATGGAATCACTTCGGTCGAGCCGGCCCATTCGTGCCGTAGCATGGCTCTCCCACACTGAAGCTCATTATATAAATCAAACTCTGTACGGCGCGTTACGTTCAGTGCGTGTCTCAAAGAGCCATCAGACCGCTACAGATAGGACTCAGTAGGGCTGATGCTTATCCCAGAGCTGCGGAAGACTTAACGTGTTGCCGTGGCTCCAGTTCGAAGAGCAGGAATAGGAACGAGGGCGTTTTTAGTCAGTTAGAGTCTGACACTCTCTCACGTCTCATCCATAGTGGGAGACGGTAACTGGTTGAATTTTATCCCTCAAAAAAAAATATCGGATATCTATATCAGATTACCTTACCTGACAGGAATCTTCAGGTTTCTTGACATCTCCATAGCAGATTTGTGTGCTGGCGTTAAACCCAAGAGGCAGTTCATCATGAGGGGGGTAGTAGAAGGAGCATTGGACTTCACTGAATTCATATGTGGAGAACTGGAAATATGTAACAAAATTTGAAAGAACTAGTTACTTGCAACTAAATATTGAAGCAGATATCTTCAATATCCTCTAGACTGCCTCATTAGCCGAGTGGTCGCAAGTGCGACTGCTGAGCAAGGGGTCTCGGGTTCGATTTCCGAGTCGGGCAAACTATTACTGGGTTTTTAAAAATACTCAGTAGTAGCACGTCTGGAATTGTGCCCGGTACATGGCAATAGGCTCACCCCCTATTACATGGGACTCATAACATAAATAGTGAAAAGTGGGTGTTACATTTAATAGTGGCATTAAGTGCCGTAATGTACACCTCTGCCTATCCTTTCGGGGATAAAAGGCGTGATGTATGTGTATCTTCAACCGATTGAGCTGAAATTTTGTATACACGTTTAGTTTGCTTGACCATAAATGATTAGCTGTTGCAATTAACACTACCCAATGTAAATGATACAGAAGCTTGTCGTAATATTCAGCCACTTAGCCGACAATGTTCGTTGTCACAGAACACTCCTGAACAGTCTCATAACTAAGTGATTCTTAACGTGAACACCCAAACCGACTAAACTTATCTATACCGTTCCCTGTCCGTACCCTACAACCACTCCTAAACAGTCTCTTAACTAAGAGTTACTTTACGTGAGGAAGCACCTAAACTGGCTATACTTACCTGTATCCCTATCCGTACCCACCAACTACTCCTAAATAGTCGCTTAACTAAGTGTTTCTTAACGTGAACACCCAAACCGACTAAAATTACTTGTACCGTTCCCACCAACTACTCCTAAACAGTCTCTTAACTAAGAGTTACTTAACGTAAGAAAGCACCTTAACTGGCTAAACTTACCTATATCATTCCCTGTCCGTACCCTACAACTGCTCCTAAACAGTCTCTTAACTAAGAGTTACTTAGCGTGATGGAGTACCTAAAATAACCCCTTACTCTGTACCTTTAAGCGTCACTTATAGGTTGGTAAAAATCAAACTGTTGCTAATGGTCACATAAGTAAACTAAGGGATTCCAATTTGTTCGGACGTTGATATTTTTTAACCGACTTCAAAAAAAACGAAGGTGGTTCTCAATTAGGCTGTAAGTATGTTTTTTTTTTTGTGTGTGTATGCTACGCTCTTTGCCCTCTTACTCCGGCGTTTGAGGACGGATTTTGAATATTCTTGTTTTTTTGTTATCGATTGCAAAATAGCTCCAGACCCACCTGAGGGCTTACTCTTGAATCCAATTCCGATCGATCGACATTGGTATTGTCAAATTTCGGACTCTTGAGTTGCAACACTAGCGACCATTGCATCCGTAATGCGTGGATATTTAATGAACTAAATGGTATTGAGTTTAACTTTATATTCCGTACTCTGAATGCTATTTTAACAGCTACGATAGGGGTCGTATAGTTTTGACATTGAATAATTATTGAGATTTTATTGGATTGAAATTGCATTGACATTGAGAGATGAGATTTTTACCCGACTGCCAAAGAAGGAGGGTAATGTTTTTTATCTCAATAATTGTTCAATGTCCACACTATACAACCTCAGTCGTAGCTGTTAAAATAGCATTCAGAGTACGGAATATAAAGCCAAACTCAATACCATTTAGTTCATTCAATATCCACGCAATACGGATGCAATGGGCGCTAATGTTGCAATTCAAGAGTACCTACACAATTTCACAATATCAATGTCGATTGATCGGAATTGGATTCAAGAGTAAGTCCCATAATGGTCTATAAACGCTTGCAAAACTTGGGTCTGATTTATCCTCACCACTTCTAATTCTTCCTGTTGTTCGCCAGTTGAACTCCAAATTAGTACACCTGCTTCATCAGTACCGGTGATCTCCGGATCTGAATGCAGACACGCTGGAAGCACTTGCCGGCTGAACTTTATCCTGTATAATATACAACAATAGCAGGTTCGAAATTTGGCAAACAACAATATGATTTTTCTGAGTCATCATGTAGAAACTATAATAGCTATTGCCGGCGACTACGTCCTCGTCGAATATAAATTTGAGGGCATAACATAAGTGTGGGAGAGCCATGCTTCGCCACGAATGGGCCGGCTCGACCGGAGTGATACTACCAACGAGCAAAAAACCGACGTAAAACAACGCTTGCGTTGTGTTTCGTCGTGTGAGTGCGGTTACTGGAGACCCAATTACCCCCCTCCCTAGTCTATCGAATCCCCGAATCCTCCACAATCCTCAAATTCCCTATTCCCAAAAGGCCGGTAAGTCACTTGTAACGCCTCTGGTGTTCCAGGTGTCCATGGGCGACGCCGATTGCTTACCATCAGGTGGTCTGTTCGTTAACATAAAAAGCAAATTTATACGTCTTATCTTTTTTTTAAGACTCGTTGGCCGAGTGGTCGCTAGTGCGACTGCTGAGCAAGGGGTTAGATTCCCAGGCCGGGCATAGTATTACAGGGTTTTTAAAAAAATTCTTAGTAGCACGGAGTCTGGAATTGTGTCCGGTATATGGCAACAGGCTCACCCCTTATTACATGGGACTCATAATATAAATAGTGATAGTGGGTGTTACATTGTACAGTGGCATTAAGTGCCGTAATGTGCATCCTTCAGGGATGAAGAGCGTGATGTTATGTTATGCTTACGTTTTTGTCTCCATTAGAGCGATGTCATGATATTTTAAACCGGCCTGGTACTCCGGATGAGGGAAGACTCTCTTGACGTCATATTTCTGCCATTCAGTAGCATTCATACGATTTGAAATCCCCACAGCTACATATTTCACATGCCCTCTGAAAATAAGAAAAGCATCATCAATCTACTTTTAGATTCCGATTAATGTCAATGCAATTTCAATCCAGACTGCCTCGTTGGCCGAGTGGTCGCAATTGCGACTGTTGGTTAAGGGGTCTCGGGCTCGATTCCCAGGTCGGGCAAAGTATTACTGGGTTTTTAAAAAAATTTCAGTAGTAGCACGGAGTCTGGAACTGTGCCCGGTATATGGCAATGGCCTCACCCCCTATTACATGAGACTCATAACATAAATAGTGAAAAGTGGGTGTTAAATTGTACAGTGGTATAATATGCACCTCTGCCTACCCTCTCGAGGATAAAAGGCGTGATGTTATGTATGTTATGTTTTTCAATCCAATAAAATATCAATCATTATTCAATGTTCTTTTTAGTTTTGTTTAGCTGGCAGTGGTTGGACTTTTTCTATCTTCTGATTTATAATGTTGTGAGATCCAAGACAGTTATTCATATCCCTGGGTGCGCCGGGCTTCAGTGTTCCGGTGTTTGCATGGTTGTATCTACTGTAGATCCTGGTGCACAGCGGTTTTGGGAGGTTGGGGAGGGTAGTGGTAGTGGCTGGATGTGAAGAGTCGAAGATCGAACTTAGTTTCTTGTTAATGGAAGCTACGTCTAGTAGTGGATGGAATTAAACTGATGTTGTCACAATTGAAGTGTGGGACTTGTGGCAGAGCCATGCTTCTTCACAAATGGCTTCGACCAGATGCCACAGCCTTTAAGGCCAGTATCGCACTAACTAACGTTGCCGACTGCTTACCATCAGGTGATATATTCACTCGTTTGCCGCCATACCATAGTAAAAAATTATAACTTACAGCTTTTCCAGCATCAGACAGTGCGCTGCAGTAAGAATGAAGTTTTCGCTTACAATCGTACCAGCACATCTCCATTCAGTCGTGTTTTGATGTTCTCCATATCCTAACAAAGCCTGAAAAAAACATCATCAGTCAGTCAGCCGGCAACTAAATTATTGCTGATTCGGAGTCGCGGAGAACCTAATGGGTTGCCGGGGCTCCGGCTCGACGTGCAGTAGAAGGAACGGGGTGGTTTTTAGTCAGTAAGAGTCTGGCACCCGCCTCACCCAGGCGGGCAGTCATTCGATGATTTTCCCCCCTTAAAAAAACCTATTGCTGATCAAAAAGTCCTTTCTCACATGAAATATGTTTGAGCATTAATCACCAAGTTTGCTCTTTGATTTGTATGAAATTATAAGTCCAAGTTTCCTCACGATGCCTGCGCTGAGGACGACCTTGAGGGTTACTGAGGCTCTGGCTCGAAGAAGGAGTAGAAACGTCAAATATTGGACGTCCAAATGCTTGACATTAGCGTGTTCCCTATTGGACGAAGAACGAGACGTTCACGCTGCCGCCGCTGACACTGGGGGTGGGGGGGGAATACAGTGGGTCCCATTATGTAACTATATTATACAGTCTGGTGCTGGAAATCTTGGAAAATAGGGAACTGAGCCTTATATAATGCCCGGGCTACAGCATGAAGCTGATCCTCGGCCTTTTGCGCTGCGACGCATAAATTTATTTCTGTGTCCTTATATTGTTGTCTGCATGTGTGTCGTGGCGTAATAAACGGTTTTTATTTCTTACTTTTTTCTATTTAGTCAGTAAGAGTCTGACATTCTCTTTCGCCTCACTCAGTGCAGGAGATGTCAGTTGATTAGGTTTCAGAAGACTGCCAATGCTTTTGTGATTCCATTCGATAAAAAAAGGGATGTCAATTGGGGCCACGGGTGTATAGAATACATTGGACACTGGCCTCAGAGAAGACGGTAGCATAGTGGTCACATGCTGCCGTGAAACCGTACAGCGAGGCTCAAGGAAGACGCGCGTCTCCCTAAGAATGTGCTGCAGCAGGCGTTGCATTGTGGGGGCTCAGGGGCAGGCCTGTTAGAGAACTCAGTGTCCCCTACAGGTGCAGAGGTTGGCCAATGGGGTGGTTCCAGAGGAGATTTACCTGGTAAATCTCCCCAAAAAGTTAGGCGTCTATTGAAGGTTCCCTTCATAAAAAAGGTACTTACGAAGTATGACTCCGTGTAAGGTCGTCGGTTGGACCCTATCGTGTAACGAAGTCGATAACAGTCGAAATTATGATCCAGTTTTCTGGAGAAGCTGCCTCTACTCTTGCATGGATAATCCAGTTCATCCACATAGCTGACGCATTCTATAATGAAGAAAGAAAATAATAAATTCATAATTTAAAAAAAGAAACTAATAATACTCAACTAAACTTAGCTAAACTCAACTAAACTCAACTAAACTTAACTAAACTCAACCAAACTCAACTAAACTCAACTAAACTAATAATACTACTTTCATAATGTCCTCGTTTTGTTATCAGGTTCAGGTGTTGTTTTTTTTTAATTTTGTTGCCCCCCACTAGGATATTCTCCTGTGTCGAGAATGCGTTTACAAACATACAAGTTCACATACACATGACACCCAGACCCGGAACAATAACCCGTGGTTCGTTCCGTGCGGGAATCGAACCCTCGTTACGTTGCGCGGTAGCCAGTTGTCCAGCCACCGCACCAACAGTGCAGTCAAAAGTTAGTCAGTTTTAATAACAAGGTTTAATCAGCCATCTTCCAATTCCATCATCAGACTAGGTCAATAACACCATAATATGGTATTGTCATCTAATCTTTACGATCAAACTAAATGGCTTATAAAAAAGCCATCAAAAGAATATTACTGCAATGTCTGTTTTCTGACTGACTGCTGACTGCCTCGCTGGCCGAGTGGTCGCAAGTGCGACTGCCGGGTAGGGGGTCTCGGGTTCGATTCCCGGGTAGGGCAAAGTATTACTGGGTTTTTAAAAAATTCTCAGTAGTAGCATGGAGTCTGGAATTGTGCCCGGTATATGGCAATAGGCTCACCCCCTATTACATGGGACTCATAACATAAATAGTGAAAAGTGGTTGTTACATTGTACAGTGGTATAATGTGCACCTCTGCCTACCCCTTCGGGGATAAAAGGCGCGATGTTATGTGTTATGTTCTGATTTCTCTTCTATTACTTTTTAATCTCCACCCTTTGCCCACGCTACACGGTATACGACAACCGATAATCTTGATCCCTCCACTCGGTATTTCAATTGCCGAGTTTCACGACGATACAACAATTACAAGTGTGTGTAATTCAGATTCTTAGATTGTGTTACATAGTCCGGTACAGGTCGACCTAATGAAAGCGTGTTGATTATTTCATTCCACCTTACTTACTGTCGTTGGCTTTCTGTCCTGTCAAGGGCAGCAGTCCAGCTCCTGGATTGAACACGATCTGTCTAGAAATATAAAAGAGTAAATTACTTTTTGTAAGGAATACTGAAGCGGGCAAACGGATCACCTGATGGTAAGTAAGCGGTGTAGCCCATGGACGCCTGCAACACTAGAGGCGTTACAAGTGCTTTGGCGGCCTTTTGGGGATTAGGGATTACGTGATTCGAGGATTGGAGAAGCAGACTTAACGTGCCTTTTTTTAACATAACATAACTTAACATCTCGCCTTTTTATCCCCAAGGGGTAGGCAGAAGTGCACATTTCGGCACTTAACGCCACTGTACAATGTAACACTCAGTTTTCACTATTTATGTTATGAGTCCCATGTAATAGGGGGTGAGCTTATTGCCATATACCGAGCACATTTCCAGGCTCCGTGCTACTACTGAGATTTTTAAAAACCCGGTAATACTTTACCTGACTCGGGAAGCGAACCCGAGGCAGCCCATCATCATCTGATGATGAAAAATGTCAACAGTTCTTGAAAATTCTTCCATGTCTATTTCGGCTATAGTGACCGTTCCTTGACTACTGGCGTTTATAACCAGAGTGCTTTTAGCCAAATGCCACTTTAGCGCTTGTCTACAGAGAGAGTAGAAAACTAAATGTATGGGTACATGGACTTTTACAGCATTTTTTAATGTCGCGTAGCTATCAATGCGCACGGTGGTCAGCGCTGACCACCAAGTTCATACATCTCGGCTGTCAGCGCTGACGGTCAGCGTAACACTAAAACCAATCAATCACCTGATATCATCTACGATATAACAGTCTGTACAGCACACGATCGGGTCCTTTCCATGGAAAGAACATATCTGAAATATAAAAAAACAAAAACAAATCAAATAATGTATCAATGAGACTGTAAAAAATATTTTTTAAAAGAGTAACGATGGATCTTCTTTCTCGTTCTTCTCCATTCGAAACCTAGCGCCTAGCTTCACTGACAGACAGACGGACGGACAATTCAATATTTGACATTTCAAAAGTACCTGATAGGGTAGATGCCTAATTTTTATTTTAATGTCCGTCTTGTAGATTATTTTAAATCATTAGACACGTATTTTTTATTTTCTTACGGAAACGAATACTTTCGACGATATATTGATTTTAAATGTCGCGTGACGTCACTTCTATGTACATTTTATACGTAGAAATGACGTTTTAGCCCCCACTCCTAAACTTTGATTCATTTTATCTACGTATTGTTTTATTATACGACAAAATAAAAAATACGTGTCTAATATTTTTTCATTGCCTAACTTACGGACTAATTAGATTTTTAATTTTCATACTCTGTCATCATCCCTATTAAGGATCAATTGAAATTAATGCTTTGACTTTGATTTTGACAAAGGCTTGGGGTAACTATGTTATTTGGTGGTAGCTGACCTGCGTGCGACTGATTAGGGGAGTCAGTCGTCCGCTGTATGGGCGGGAGTAGGCGTTAGCGGTATGTTCACGCGCGCCAATCGAGGAAGGATATCGCAGCTTATGATGCCTACTACGTGGTGGGACCTGCCGCAATATAGTGGTAGGTCGAGGCCTGCCGGGTGCGGTAAGTCGCGGCCACAGGCAGAGAAGGAACACCTGGTTTTAGCCGGTAACACTCACCCGTCGTCCCCACGGCGTGGGAAGTCCACGAGGTCTCCAAAGAAGAAAGAGTACTTTGCTCGATCTGGGAATCCAACCCGACACCCCTTGCCCGGCAGTCGTAAGTGCGACTCGGCCATCGAGGCAGGCAGGCCTTTTTTGAAGTCAGTTAAAAATAGACAAATATATATATAAACATAGGTACATACCGGTGGAAATTGTTTCGTTTTGAGAAAAAATTGTGCATTTTGACATTTGTATATACTGACACAGAGGCCCAGTGCGTCGCCATCTTTACATTTTGCACCTGCAAAATAAAAAAAAACATTAAGTAACTAACTACTTCCGCGCGGTTTCACTCGCTCTCTGCTTGGCGCCTATTAATCGTAACGTGATATTTTATAGCATATAGCCTTCCTCGATAAATGGGCTATCCAACACAAAAATATTTTTTCGAATCGGACCAGTAGTTTCAGAGATTAGCGCGTTCAAACAAACAAACAAAAAAACAACTTCATCTTTATAATATTAGTATAGATTAACCCTCTGCAACTGACGTGGTTAAATTGTTACAATTCAACTGAGGTGTATATTATACCAGACACCATTTCAACAGCAAATATTTTTGTAGAATTAAAGTATAGCGAGCACTATACAGTAAGGTACTCGCAGCAGTGCTCGTATTTGAAAAATGACGGTATAACACGTGATTTTGTATTTCACGGTGTCTGTGGGACTACACGTCAGCTGCAGACGGTTAATCAATGAGCACCCACTAATCGTTAATGTCGTCGTGGGCCGCAGGTTTAAGACGTCCGCTTCTCATGCATGAAGGCCTCGAAACCTAGCAACGGCAAGTACCAATGAATGCCGCGTAGAACTTAACGGGTTGGCGGGGCTCCGGCTCGAGGGGCAGGAGTAGGAACGGGGTGGTTTTTAGTCAGTAAGAGTCTGACACTCCCTAACGCCTCACCCAGGCGGGAGAAGTAATTAGATGATTTTTCACTATGATTTCTCCCGCCTGGGTTTGGCGGTGGCGATATCGGTTTCAGTCCTATTGGGCCCCATCCATGGTGGTCTGATGACTTTTTGAGGCGCACGCGAAATGCGACACGCCGTACGTTCGGGTCTGGTTCTGGTCGGGCGGCGAGCTAACCATGCTAGCCGTCTGCAGGCCCGTGCTTACGCTGGCCGGAGATATTCGCGTGATCTCCGACGCCCGGAATGTCCTTCGCGACGGCTGGGCTGTGAAGAGGAAGCGCTTCGCTGCCTCAAGCGCCCCGCCTCCTCCTTAACTAGCATGACTTCCGCAAAAGGAGGAGACGGCATCCCAGTCCTCCTCACTCCGCATTCCGGTAATCAAGTACAATACAATTTTAAAATTCATCACTGACCTTCATGCAAATTTAATAGTTCACAAAACACATTAAGTATCACGGAACACACTATTAAATAATGACGTAACATAATAACTATAATAAAAACACAATAATAATATTTATTAATACACGACCGCCGCGTTTAGAAGACGCGTCGATATTAAAATAAAATATTTAAGAATGAATTCTTAATAACTAGTTGTAGTTTCCTATTTATAGTTTCAAATGATATTTAACAGCGCTTGGTGTAGTGTAGATGTCCATTCAACTGGTGGTAGCGAGGTTCACTGTCCAGTGACACACGTACGCTGGTATCGTCATGAGCTAATGTTCACATGTAAACAGTGACTCGTATAGTGTAGATGTCCTGTCAACTGATGGTAGCGAGGTTCACTGTCCAGTGACACACGTACGCTGGTATCGTCATGAGCTAATGTTCACATGTAAACAGTGACTCGTGTAGTGTAGATGTCCAGTCAACTGATAGTAGCGAGGTACACTGCCCAGTGACACATGTACGCTGGTATCGTCATGAGCTAATGTTCACATGTTAACAGAGACTTTTAGTTTTTTCAAAAAGTTCTTAGCAAAAGCACGAAATCCGAATATGTGTCCGGTATATGGCAATAGGCTCACCCCCTATTACATAGGACTCATAACATAAATAGCAAAAAGTGTGTGTTACATTGTACAGTGGCATTAAGTGCCGTAATGTGCACCTCTGAAATGAAAAAAGGCGTGATGCTGTGTTATGTATGAAGGATAACTATGTTCATAATTCTTAATATTGCTAAAAAAAACAAGTATTTTTGATGAGGGGTTTTTTTAACTAAAAATCGCGGGTTACTCACGTGAATATACTGAGAAAAGTTCTACTAGTTTCGAACCACAGAGGGGTTCTTCCTCATGAGCAGCGTGCGCGCTGTGGTTCGAAACTAGTAGAGCTTTTCTCAGTATATTCACGTGAGTAACCCGCGATTTTTAGTTAATTTAGTATGTCTCACGATAGTTGTTATAAAAACAGGGTTTTTCTTGTTTACTCAGTACTTATTTTTAAACAACCGGTTTTCTTTTCAGGTATAGTTGGTAGTTGTAATATTATTTATTCATATTCTTTTTGATCTTCAACACATAACACCACGCCTTTTATCCTCGAAGGTGTGAGCAGAGGTGCACATTACGGCACTTAATGCCACTGTACAATATAACACCTACTTTACACTATTTATATTATAAGTCCCATGTCATAGGGAGTGAGCCTATTGCCATATACCGGACACAATTCCAGACTCCGTGC